AGAAGAGAGAGAGAGAGAGAAGAGAGAGAGGAAGAAAGAGACAGCAGAGTGAGAGAGAAAGAGAGGAGAAAAGAGGCAGAGACAAAGAGAGAGACAGAGAATGTGGAAAGACAAAGAAAAAAACAAAGCGACGGAGAGAGAACCCAAGAGTTACACGTTTACCTTTCCCACCTCCCTTACATCACACAACTGAACCCCAGAAATGAATAATGGCAAATAACCGTGCCTTCCTTTGCTCAACCGGACCAACCTCCCCGTCCAATGAGCTAAGACGAATGGCAACAAATGAAATAACTTATATGGTCTGGCGGGGCTATGGGGCGAGGCGAAGGGAGCGTATGTGTAAATAACGGTTGATTGTTTACAGATATATAAACAGGATAAATAATATATGAAAAATTTTAAGCATTTTACAAGCGTGATGATGCATTGAGAAAAAAGACGAATAGCAACACATGAAATAACTTATATGGTCTGCGGGGTTATGGGGCGAGGCAGAGGGAGCGTATGTGTAAATACAGGTTGAATGGTTACATTTATATATAAACAGGATAAATAATTTATATAATTTTAAGCATTTTACAAGCGTGATGAAGTAAAATAAAAACGCTGGTTTTGAGTGTTTACATGCACTGACTCAAGAGCGTTAAAAAAAGGATAGAAACAATAATAATATTCCGCAAGCGTGATGGAGAATATGAAATTAATGTCGACATCGGAGCGGTTTTTTAGCATCCCAGAGGCTCGGCGTTGGTAACAAGACTCTTTGGCAGGAGGCAAGGATGCTAGAAGGACTTTTGGGACAACCTCGGCGGCCCTGGGAGCACCGTGGCGAAGAAGTCCTCAGAAAGATTGTGAAATTCGTGGGGGAAGTTACTCCGCGAGACCAAAAATGGCGGTTCACTCTAACCAATTTTTTTTTCTTAATTTTATGTAATATATCCTTGGTTCTGTTCGTAAGAGGGTGGATGTGTTTTGTTTTATAGCAGGAGAATAATTGGATGAAATTTGCTCTTTTTCGTTAGTTTAAACGTGGGAAAATCGTGTAAGTGTACTAATGACCATACGCACATGTATACTCAAATACACGCTCACACACACTCGAACACACATCCAAACACACACAGACACAAACACACTCAAACATACATCCAAACACACACACACACGAAACACACACACCTAAACATACATCCAAACACACACACACACACACACCTAAACATAACATCCAAACACACACACAGAACAACAACACACCCAAACATCCACACACACACACATTCCCCTAAATACTCACTCACCTTCTCACCCAGTCGCTCCCTCACTCACTCACTCTCCCACAGACTCGCACAGGGTCAAATGTCGACTGTCGAACGGCTGTCGACACTCCACCTGTCCCAACCACGAGGCCTCGACAGTTGACCCACGTCCTGTTGCGTGTCAGTTGCAAAACAGGGATGCAACAGGGTATCACGTGACTTTTGAGGGACTTTTGAGGGACTTTTAAGGGACTTTTGAGGATATAAGGTCGTACGAAACCATTCTTTTACAACGGAAGTATTTAGCCTAAGATTGAGATAATGATTAGTTACTCCTTAATTCCTATCTTTATCGGGGTATCACGTCTCTGTATATCTTTCTTTATCGTGGTATCATCTTTGTATATCTTTCTCTATCCTGGTGGTATCTTTTGGTATCTTTTTTCTTAATTATACTAAGTGACTCGAGTTTTTTTTCGACAAAATCGTGACAACCTAATAGGACTCCAATAAACGGATAAAAAATCGTTTATTATCTACTTACGTTAATTATTTCCGGTATAATTATCATGATTGGGAGAGTTGCGGCAAAAATCTATAACTACAGGGTATAATTTACAATTTCTTGGTGAAAATGAGTGAAAATGCGGGCGCTGAGTTGTTACTGAATTCATACTATTTTCGACCTTATGACTGATTGCTATTACTGTTACCAACGAAATTCCATTTAAATTCTTTTATTGTCTATTTTATTCTTATCAATTATCATTATTATCCTTCGTCTTGTTAATGAATCATCACCAATATTTTTGTTCATCTGTTTACTACTTCATCATTAAATATCATATTCCTACTTCCACTTCCTCATCCACCCTCATCCTATCCCCCTTATCCTTATCACCCTCATCCTACCATCCTTATTACCCTCATTCTTAGCCTCGTTATCCCTATCCTCCTTATCTTATCCCCCTTATCCTTAGCTTCGTTACCCATGTCCTTATCCTCATTAAATTCTCATCCTCTATCCTCCTTACCATCATCACACTTATCCTTAACCTTATTATCACTATCCTTATCACTCTCATCCTTAACTCTTTAACCTTATGACTCTCATCCTTAAATCTTTATCCCTATCCTTCTCACTCTCATCATTAAACTTTATCCTATCCTCTTATCATCATTATCCTTAACTCATTATCCCTATCCTTATCACTCTCATCCTTAACTCTTTATCCCTATCCTCTTTATCATCATTATCCTTAACTCATTATCCCTATCCTTATCACTCTCATCCTCTTTATCCCTCTTTATCATCATTATCCCTTCTTCCTCTCACCTAACAATGAAGATGTGAGTTCCATGAACGACTCCAAAGCTGTTCAGATTAACGGGTTGAAGAACGTCTCTCTGGCACGAAGGCAAATCTCTTTCTTGTGTCTTTTTTGCGTGTCTGTCTGTCTCTTTCTCGCTCTCGCTCTATCGGTGTGTGTGTACGTGTGAGTGGTGTGTGGGTGTACGTGGAATGGGTGGGTATACGTGTGAGTGTGGGTGAGTGCATGTACGTGTGCGTGTGTGCATTTCCTGTGGGATGGCGTCCTTGCATGCTCACCCAACGTGGAAATACTTTAAGGTGTTTCTTGTGTCGGGGGTTCTGGAGAATCCTTGTGTGTGTGTGTGTGTGTATGTGAGACTAAAGGACATACATATACTTGTACCCAAATCACAAGCACCTTTTGAAGGTATCCCGGCCTATCTCTCTCTTATCATCCCTTACTGAACCCCTTTGTTGATAACATAACTGACTGATGACCTTGTTTTGTTAATGCACCTTTTATCTACATTTTATCTATGGCAAATGCAACGGCCTTTTCTTCTACGAACTTGAACAAAGGGACGTTTAGAGTGCGCTCAGGTGTGCGATAAAGATGGAAAGAGGGAGATAAAAACGAGCATAAAATCGTAATTAAGGAAACGGGGAAGAAAGAAGAAGAAGAGAAACAGAGAGATGGTTCTATCGTAAGAGAAGAAGAGGGAGAGAGGAAGAAGATAAAACTTCTATCGTAAGAGAAGAAGGGAGGGAGAGAGGAAAGAAGGATAAAAGTAGGATAAAACCCACTTGTCATGGGATCGCCACCGGGTGAAATACCCAGACACGAAGTAACACAAAAGAAATTATCCGAGTTACGAAATAAACAGCGCTTGGTCTATTGCAACGAACGGCGATAAAAAGAGAGAGAGAAAAATGCACTTGAACGAATGAAAAGAAACAAAAAAACACCGGAAAACTGACTGATCTTCCCGCCAGTAACCTGCCTAAGCTTCTAACCTTCAACGAGAAACAGGTATTTCAGAAGACACCAAGGTTGGGCTCCATGAGGAACACTTAATATTCTTAGAAACCATATACGTGGTCTTAGTATTAATATAACATGAGATAATGGTGTCTGGACTAATAAGTATTAGCGTTTGAGATTTATCCAGGTAATTAGACGTTTGCAAAGGAAGATTTTGGTGCAAATATATGTATATCTAATGTGCAAAATCTAAAAAAAATGAAACTAACATTTATCTCCTTAATGTATATTGCTAACTAAAGTTTTTTGAACGAACGCCTTTGGAAAAACCCACAGAAAAAAACATATAATAGGTTGGAGACGGGAGCTCCATAACTTAAATGAAATGAGACAGCTAATTTCAAACCTGTTCGTGTGGATGCTTGAACAAAACATTTCTTACCTGAATAAGTGAGAAACAGCACTGGGATAGCGCTGACGTAGGCGAGGCAGGAGAGCAATACCACAGCAGTCTGCATGGTGATTCTTTTCGACGAGACGGAGGGAAAAAATACGATAACAAACACAAAAAGTGACTTGGGGTGAGATCTATGTGACCAGAGGAACGAGTCTCCTTAGGACGTCGATGTGCTGGCGGTGCTGGTCGAGCTACGACTGGCTTCCACTGGGTCCTCGCCGCCTATTTATGGGGAGAACCACCTCGGGGGGACCCCTGTCTCTCCCCCCCTTCCCCCCGCTCCTCTCCGTCTCTCCCTCCCCCTCCCCTCCCTTGTTCCTCCCTACCTCTCTCAATCACACCTATCCCCTGTGCCCCCCTCTCTCCATCCCTCTCCCCCCCACTCTCTGTTCATTCTCTCCCTCGCTCCACACCCGCTCCCAACCCTACCTATCCCCCTCTCCCCCTCCACCTCTCCCCCCCTTTCCCCCTCTCATCTCCCCCTTTCGCTCAGTACTCACACTCCACCCATCCTCACCCCTTTTCACCCCCCCCTTCCCCATCCTTCAATGCTTGTTTCGGTAATGCAGAGGGGCGGGAAACCTGACTCCTTTTTCGTGGTCTATCTGGCATAATAATGTTGTTGTCATTATGCTAATGAAGGTTTTCCACGAGCAAAGGGGAGGGGTGGGGGGAGGGAGGGGAAGAAGGGAAGGGATGGGTAGGGGGAGGGGAAGAAGGGAAGGGTGGGAGGGGAGGGGAAGAAAGGGATACGTGGGGGGTGGGGGATAGGCCGTTGGTAGGGAGTGGAAGTGGGGGAAGGAGGGAGGGGAGGAGGGGTGGGGGGTAGGGGAAGGCTGTTGGTAGGGAGTGGAAGTGGGGGAAGGAGGGAGGGAGGAGGGGGTGGGGGGTAGGGGATAGGCTGTTGGTTGGGAGTGGAAGTGGGGAAGGAGGGAGAGAGGGAGGAGGGGGGGGGGAGGGAGGTAAAGCACGTGGCTCTGTATATTGCAAGGTTACTATTCTCTGTACTACAACACAAAACGGCGGGTATTGTTAAGCCCCTTTCTAAATTTTTTGTTGCTAAGATCGTAAACAATTTTTTTTTCTCTCTCTCTCTCTCTTTTTTTTTTTTTTTTTTTTTTTTTGGCGAAGTGTGTGGGGCACAGCGTATTATTATCAAAACATTTACATCTGTGCCTACAGGAAATGAGGTAATTGTTTGTCCATAGTAAATATAATTTGGAGAAAAAACGTGTATTTTTTGGCAATAGTGAAAGTAGTAGGCCCAGCAAAAGTAGGCCTACAATAACAACAATTATCATTAGCGTTATTGTTCTTTCCTGATTAGTGCCGTTATTAATGGTATTATTTAAAAGACAGCTGATCTTTCCCATGTTTTTTTTTCTTTATCATTGTTTTTTATTATTAATTCATTTTCAACATTGTTATTTTTTATTATTATTACATTTTCAATATTATTAATTCTTATTATTATTATTTCATTTTCAACATTATTATTTTTTATTATTATTTCATTTTCAACATTGTTATTTTTTATTATTATTTCATTTTCAACATTGTTATTTTTTTATTATTATTTCATTTTCAATATTATTAATTTTTATTATTATTATTTCATTTTCAACATTATTATTTTTTTATTATTATTTCATTTTCAACATTATTAATTTTTTATTATTATTATTTCATTTTCAACATTATTTATTTTTTATCATTATTTCATTTTCAACATTATTTATCAGTTTTATTATCACTATTTTTTGGCAATTCCTATAATTTCCGTCATTATTGTAAATATTATTATAAATGTTATTGGTATCACTATCGATATTGCAATCATCATTGATACTTGCATTAAATACATTTTCATTAATACTTAGTGTTAATATTAATAGTATCAACCTAATTATTGTAATGATTGTTAATTTTTCTTATCATTGGTATAATCATGAGCATAATTACAAATTACATTGTCATTATGGCTATCGTTACCGTCATTGTTGTTATTATCATTGTTATTTTTTTATTGTAATTATTATCATTATTATCTTTTTAGCGTAATTATTATCATTATTATATTTTTATCGTAATTATTATCATTATTATTTTTTTATTGTAATTATTATCATTATTATCTTTTTATCGTAATTATTATCATTATTATCTTTTTATCGTAATTATTATGATTATTATCTTTTTATCGTAATTATTATCATTATTATCTTTTTATCGTAATTATTATCATTATTATCTTTGTTATCGTTATTGTTATCTTTATCTTCATCACTTTCGTTATTGATACCATCATCATCATTATCACTATCATTACTACTACTATTACTACTAATGTCATTACTACTTCTATTATTACTACTATTATTACTACTATTATTGCTACTATTATTACTACTATTATTACTACTATTATTGCTACTATTATTACTACTATTATTACTGCTACTAATATTTCAGTTATTACTGTTATTACTATTGTTATTATTGTTACTATTATTATCAGTTTTAGTGCTGTTGTTGCTATTACAGAGTTACTAGAATTAGAGATAATGAATGCAATTAATTTTTCATCACTAATCGTTATCATCATTATCATTGTCGATGTCATTATTATCATAATCATCACAATTATCCCTATTATCAGTATTATTGTCATTGATATCATTTTCATCATTGCTTATATTAATTTCATTATCATTATGTCACATTTTTGTTGCTGTTGCTTTCAGGTGCCATTCTCATTATTATTATCATTATTTAGGTATTATCGTCATCATTATATTATAGGTATTATCGTCATCATTATATTATTGGTACTTACCCCATTATCAAATATTCATTATACCCACTATCATTATATATTGCTCATATCGTTATCATTATCATATTTATTATCATTAATATTGTCATTATTAATTTTATTGTTTATTGCTGTCATTGACATTACTGTGTTGTTGTCTTTTCTTAATTATGACCATTATCATTTCTTCATTATTACCATCATTTTTGTTACCGTTACCAAATATTTTATATTATTGTTGTACCATTAATCATATTTGTTATCATTGTTATTCTTGTTGTTGTTTTTGTAATTTTTATTCGTTATCAGATGATGTACCTTAACATGGGATCAATCTTATAATAATAGTTTCAACATATTAGTAAGATTATATTTTCTGTCATTAGTATTATTGTCATCGTCATTATTACACTTATATTAATATAATATAGTATGTACTTATGTTGTTATAATATATAATGTACTTTTATTATTATATTATATTATATTATGTACTTATTATAATATATTATGTACTTTATTATATATTTATGTAGTTATATTATTATATTATATATTACTTATATTATTATATTATATATGTACTTATATTATTATATTATATTATTTACTTATATTATTATCATCATTATTACACTTACATCATCATCATTTCTGTCATCAATTATTGTAATAGCAATGACGAAGGACTGATGTAAATAACACAAAAATTATTACGTCGATGACATTATCTATTTATCAACATGAGATGGAATATCATAATCATTACAGGAATATAATATTTCATTTAAAATCGGCGAAATAAACTTAATTTTCACAAGTTAATTATGGCAGCCATAATTATCTTTTGAAAATTGGGTTTATTTCATGTATTTTTCCACAATTAAAGCGAACCTGACGTAACGACCCCGCTGACCCAAGCTAAGTGAAGCGAGGACAGAACAGAAGGTCAAACCCACAATGACCTACTGTCAGCTAAATGATCACGTGGTTAGGAGGTTACGCCACGCATGCACACACGCACACGCAACGCCCCTC